GTTGGTGGTAAAATTGAGGTTCAAAGTTTGAGGAAACTGTTAAAAGATAATTTCTGTGCATAGAAGAGAATGCATTGTAGGAAATGGACCTGGATAAGGGTTACATTGAGTTATTGTTTGGAGGAGGTGTATCTGTCAGAAGATTGCAATGAAATTCTTGCAGATATGAGGGGTTTTTAATGATTCTATTTGACCTTCTAGGTAGGAGGGACGAGGTGTGATTAACTTGCGTTGCTTGTTCCTTAATGGAATCTGAGTCTGAGGATGGAGATGTAGAATTGGTGATAGGAAGATCATTGGAGACATGATCACTATTATTTTAATCTAGATGCATGGTAGTTGTGTTTTGAGAAGGATGATAGGGAGTTGGTTCATGGGCAATACGAGGCAAAACGATGTCAGGGAATGGGTCAATGAGATCAGTGGTATGAGTTATTGAGTGGAAGGGAAAATGATTTTCATGGAACATAACATCTCTGGAAACAAGGAATGATTTTGAGGAAATGTCATACAACTTATAGCCCTTCATGCCTGGAGGATATCCCACAAAAACACATGTTGTGGCTCGGGGGGAAAATTCATTTATGTGAGATGGTAGTGTTGAGGCAAAAGAAAGACTCCCAAACACTTTGAGAAAGCTGTAATCTACTAGATTACCATATAATAGAGTAAAATGGGTGTTATTTTTCAGGATTGGTGATGGAGTTCTGTTGATAAAAAATGTAGCTGTGAGTACACAATCTCCCCAGAATTGAATTGGCACTCGTGACTGAAAGAACAAAGCTCGAGCCACATTGAGAAGATGTTGATGTTTTCTTTCCATTACTGAATTTTGTTCAGGTCTTTCCACACATGCAAACTGGTGAATGACCCCTTTTTCATTGAAGTATTCTGTGAATTTTAATTCTTGAGCATTGTCGGATCTGAATTTCTTGATTGGTTTGTGGAATTGGGTTCGGATTAGAGTGAAGAACTTAGGAATGATGAAACTAACATCAGATTTCTGCCTCATAAGGTATACCCAGGTAAACCTTGTGCAATCATCAACCAAGGTAAGAAAATATCTATGACCACCATGTGTAGGAGTGTGGTATGGCCCCCAAACATCACAATGAATCAAATCAAAAGCAGCATCAGACAAATGATTATTTGAAATAAAGGATAATCTTCTTTGTTTGCCTAAAGGACAAATAGAGCAAGGGAAAATACCATCAACATTTTGTCTATTACAATCAAACTGTAATTGGTTTTTCAACAATTTCAACTTTTGAAATGACAAATGGCCAAGTCTATTGTGCCAAATTGTATCAGTAACATTATTGACTATTGGAAGAAAAGAGTGTTTAATAATTTTGGAAAAATGAACTGGATTAGAATTAGCTTCAATCACATAAAGGTCTGCAGTCTTTTTACCCCTGCCAATCATCTTCAATGTGTGCAAGTCCTGAATGATACATGAATTAATGAGAAACTTGACACATAAAGATGATTTCTTGGTTAAGGAGCTTACAGATAGAAGATTGAATTTGAATTGGGGAACAAATAACACATCATTCAATACATAGTCATATGATAGATGCACAGTTCCAGTGAAATGCACAGGGATTTTAGTGTGGTTTGGCAATGTGACATACACGTTATCAATGTGTGAAATACAGAATGATTGGAACAAATGTGGCTTGTGGCACCTGAATAGACTATCCAATACTTTGATGAATTGAGTATTGGACTCACTGAGATTGAAAAGCAGGTACCTGATTCATTGGCAGAATTATTATTGATCTCTGTGTCCATTTTTGCAGCCTTGAGATGACTACTCAGCATATTCATCAAATGCTGATACTGATCAGCATTGAGAGTTTGTATAAATCCTCCAACATTTCCTTGTGATTTATCCATGCCAATTTCAGAATCAAAAACCTGGTTAGCCAGAACATGGCCACCTGATCCAGTTTGGTTGTTCATTCCAGGTCTTTGTCTTGGTTTATATCCTAGTGGATAACCATGTAATTTGTAACATTTATCAATTGTATGTCCTGTGAATCCACAATAGGTGCACATAGGTTTTTCCTTCTTCTGGAACCTGTTGGAATGATGTCCAACGCCAGCCTTTCTAGTATCATTTTGGACTTGAAAAGCCATGGAATCAGATCTAGGTGTTATATTAACTTTTCTCTGGTGTTCTTCTTGAGAAATAAGGGCAAAAACCTTGTTGATAGGAGGAATGGGATCCATGAGTAGTAGCTGACCTCGAACCTGAGCAAATGACTCATGGAGCCCCATCAGGAATGACATAACATATTCTGTCTGATAATGCTCAGCTAGCTTTTTAGTGCCTCCACAAACACATTTTCCACATGTACACATACGTCTATAGTTACTTAATTCTTCCCAGATTGTTTTCAGCTTAGTGAAATATGAACTGACAGATGACTGACCTTGTGTATGATCTATTAGTTCTCGCCTTAGCTGGAATATGCGTGGTCCATTCCGTTGTTGAAAACGCTCCTTTAGATCCATCCAAATTTCATATGCAGATTCAGAGAATATAACACTTGCAAAAATTTCTTTAGACACAGAATTTAGAATCCAGCATATAACAATGTTGTTATTCCGGATCCATGAGTTGAGTAATTCTCGATCATTTTCAGGTCGTAAAATAGATCCATTGATGAATCTTAACTTGTTCTTCACTGAAAGTGCAATCATCATCGATCGACTCCAAGATGCGTAATTATCCCCAATTGCTGTTAAACGAGCATAAGTCCTGGGTTATCTGAGTGATGTAGATAATACGGACTGGTTCCATCATCAACTGCTGAACTTGATGATGAAGAGATATTTGTCGTTAAATTTGGAATATCTGAAGCCATCACATAGAAGCTTCAAGAATAATTGAATTTGTCAGAGAAACTTCCAGAGTTATTTCAAAATAGAAGAAATCGTAGATCTGTCTTCATTTGACCAGATCACACAAAAATGAGATGAAATTAACACAGCAACGGGAAGCAATTTTGCTATGATACCATATTGATGAACAAAGTGTGAAAAAGGGGAATTCTTTTATTCAAGAAGAAAGTATCGTACAACACATATATAAATAGAACTTTGAGCTCACTAACAGAATATTACAGCTCATTAACAGTGGTTAGTTAACTGTAACTAACTCTAACAAACTTTAAATACCAACTTAATAATCCAATAATAACGGCTAGTAGAAGAAATGAGAGAGAAATGAACTTTCCAAATGCCATGACTTTGATATCTTCTCTTGCCTTTCGGATTTTCAATGACAAAAAGATCCAATTGCACTCTCGGAACTTGCTCCATTTATACCATTTTAGGCCATATTTCATCCGTACTCGTGAACCCGTACTTCGTTGCAGACTTGAAAACCATAAAAAATCTGAGGTTCTCTTAAGTTACGGCAAAGTTTGTGGCTTTATATTTGGCAGCAACGATTCGTTTTTCATTTTATGGAAGGTTTTTTTTCCTTTTTTTTGATACCCAGGTGTCCCAACTTCGTCAGACTAAATCCTGGACCTCAAGCCTCCGGCCTCTCATTAGCTTGAGGAAGTTAATCGCGGGTTGTGCCCTTATTGGCTCCCAGGTTCCTGCATGGCTTTTACTCCTTTCCCAAAGAGGGCCCTCTCCACTGCCTTCCAGCACCTTGCCTTCGAGATAAATCCCCCTTCCAAGATACTGCCTTCCAGGAATCGAACCCTCCACGCTTGGTTTGTAAGCCTACCAATGCAATTGTTCCACCAATGCAATGGTTTATCGAAGGTTTCATGTTAGTCAATATGTTCTAATGAAGTCTTGTGGTTAAAAAGATCTCACGGTTATCAGGACAAATTATCATATTTTCTTGTTTGTCAGTTTGAGTTTGATGGAAAGTGTTCTTTTTGCTAAATTTCCTAGTTTGGGATATTTACAATTGAACATAGTAATTTAAATAGCAACCTTCAAAAGTTCATTAATTGATATGTAAATCAAAAACATAGAAACCTGAACTTTCCCTTTTTGTTTTATCATGATATTTAATTGCATATATATATATATATATATATAGAGAGAGAGAGAGAGAGAGAGAGAGAGAGAGAGAGAGAGAGAGACTTGTGGTTTGATCCATAGTTGTTTATTAAATGCAACTGAAAATAGGTCGATCAGAGTCCCGTAGAATTTACTATAGTAACTTTAATAAACTATGACAGTCAAATTCGGGAAACACAAACCAACTTGTTAGAAAAATAATTTCGTGCTATAAACATAGTCGTCAAGATCCCGAAATTTTATATGTTGTACCTATATGAGTTTTATACTTTTCTATGAAGTTTTATAAATTTTCGTCAAGGTTTGCTAGGTCAAATAATTTTTGCAATTTTACTGTACAACCATAGAAAACTGTTTCTGCTAGCTCTTTTTTTTAAAAAATTATTTTGCTCCATAATATTTTTAAATTTATATGTTTAAGAAAAAAAAAAGATATATCATGATTATATAGTTTGATTAAATATATATATTTTTTAATAACTTTCTACTCATATTTTGGAGATTTACGTTAAAGAACTCATGAATGGTAACGCGCTGGATTATTAGAATTTGGGACGTTACAACTACTCATTATTATCCACAAATTTTATAGGATCCATTACTATTAATCTTACTATTTTTCTTTATAAACTATTTAAAAATTAGACAGGCAGTATAGATTAAATATTTTAAATGGATTTAAAACTAATTTCTTGGAGGGCATCCATTTACTATCTTTTTACAACCTTTGACCCATCCATTAATTGATGTTCATAATTTTTCCCATTCATTAATTTATGCTAAAACTATGAACAAACCAAAACCTATAACTGAGGACAACCTTTCGCTTGCATGAATATTCTCTATGTACCACAAAAATATGCTAAGAAATAGACTTACCATTCATTCTACAAAATTGACTAGTTTATAATCAAAATTTCCAAACTAATCTTTCCCCTTTCCAATTAGACTTTGGACTTGAGAGACCCCATAGAGAGAAACAAGAGAGAGAGATAGAAGAACGCAATAAAGGAGCCCATAAAAACGAAGTAAAAAAGACTCATAAATTAAAGAAAAAGGAAAAAAAATGGCTCCTAAAAAGTTCAACTATTTTTCATTGTTTTTCTTAACCTTGGTTGCTCTTCTTATTGCCCAGAGTACAACTGTAGAAGCAAGAAAATTCATTGGTGTCAACCAATTTTGCACTACTGCCAGCCACAAGAAACTCTGCACAAAAATGGTGAATGGTGCTACAAACATGCACGATGCAACACAAAATGCCATTCTGGAAACCCTTGGTCTTGCTAAAAAAATTCAATCCATGTCTCATTTGATCGAACCGGCTATTGCAAATTTGGAACCTGTAAGCCAGGAATCAATTCGGAGTACTTGTAAGGACAATTTCGATAACATCGTTGATGATCTCGAGGTAAGTCGAACAATGTTATCTTAAAACTTACAATGTTAGATGATGATTATGAATATTTAATTAAATATTTGTCTTAAACATGTCCTTCATCTTAGGAAAATTCATTTTTTAATAGAATACCTAACACGTGCCTAAATCATTTAAAACATGTGTGTGTGTGTATATATATATAGAAATTGAAAGCTTAAAATGCACATGACTTCATATACGTAGCAATAAGATTTGAACTCGAGACTTTATATCTTTTAATACCATATTAAACTGCCTCATTTTAAGGCTTAAGTTGTTAAAAAAGGAAAAATGAATGATATAATTAAATTTCAGTTTTGGTGAAAATTCTTTTCTTTTGAAATCAAATTCTACTTATTCTAATTTTTTATTCACCAAATATTTAGGTCCCGTTTGATTTCCATTTTTTTAAATGATAATGAAAAATATAGTTGTTACGAGACCCACAAAAGATAAAAAGTCAAATATGATAGCTTAATATAATACATAACGGTCATATTTTTCATTTTTGTGGCCAAAGAATGAGAATCAGACGGAAGCTTAGTATGCGTTTGGTTTGTTGGTTTCAAATTTTTTTTAGTTTTCAAAATATCCAAAAATATGAAAAAAAGTATTTAAATAAAAATTTAAAGATTATGAATTCTAAAAAATTAAAATATAAAATTATAAACAATTAAAATTATAAAATTCATATATCAATAATATTCTAACAAAATGAAAATTCAAAATAATATATTCCAAAAACTAAAAATAGTAAAATTATAGAAAAATTAATATTCTAATAAATATATTGTAAAAAAAAAAAGATAAAATTATCATATTCTAGAAAATAAAAATTATATAAAAATAAAATCTAAATAATGTAAAAATAAAAAATAAAAATTTTACAAACTTGTAATGATACATAAAATATCTGAAAAAATGCATTTAAATTACCATATTAGATTTTCAGTTCACAACATGTATTTTTATTTTTTATTTCATATATTTTCCCATTCAATTTATTATAATTTTTTACTTACTTTTCTAATGAAAAATATTGTAAGATTCAGATTCATTAACTTTAAAATGTATATATTACTTCATAGTTTAATAACATAATATTGTTATATTTTTATTGAATAATATTTCATAGAATAAAATGCTATAAAATAATTTTTCAAACTTGCAGACCAAACTTATTTTCTAATTTTCTATTTTGACAAATAGTTTTTCAGAATAACTAACCAAACATGCTTTTAACAATCATAAAACATAGCGTCAAAATACAAAACTGAAAATAAATTCAAAACTCAAAACTAAAAGTTGAAACACAAAAAAAAAAAATTAAAAAAATAATAATAAATAAAATAAAATGAAATGAAATGAAATGAAAAAAAGAAAAAAACCGAGCCCTTACTTTTTCTATTCATACAAACACTTCACGTTCTTCCTAGCGTTCACTCCAGTCCACGGCCCAAGCCAACCCACCCCATTGCCCGACAATCATCTACGGCCACCCTGTGTCACCAACGAAAAGCAAATGTCCAACCCATCATCATCATGAACCACCAACACCACCCTCCGTTAGGGACGGCAACTGTTCGGTTCAGTCAAAATCATCATCGAACCGTTAAATTTTTTGCCTACCATAATCGCACCATAACCACGTAAATCGGTTCAGTTCAGTTAATAACCACGAAAATAAATTATTTTTTTATAAGTTCATCCGTCAAATTGATATAAAACAATTTATGAAAAAGAGAGTCAATAAAAACAAAAACACAATATTTCAAATGAAAATACAAACATTATCCCAAATCCCAATTGCAAAATACAAATTTAACAAACAATATTATGAATATAACAATACTAAACTTTTCTTCATTCTTGATTCTTGTGCATTGTAGTTACTTAATTCATGCTCGATAATTCAAAAGTTTCAACATTAACTCATATTCAATCTTCATTCTTCCCCACAAATCTTACTAGTATAGGTCAGCACTCAAAATTGATTCCTATATATTAAATAAGAAATATAAGTAGAGAATACAACGATATTACCTAATCCAGAATGGTTTTAACTAAGATTTAAATTTAAAAAATGTATCTCTTCGTCAACTTCCTCTTTAGTAAACATTGTCATCCCTAATAAAAGAATGATTTTTTTTAAGCAGATAATCGGTTCGGTTTCAATTCGACGGCATAAATATCATACATGTACCGCCACAAACCGGTTCATTAAAATCAAATACCATATTCGTCCTATTGCACTATCGGTTAGATTTTTTTCATTCCATTCAGTTCGGTTGACTGCGATTTTCAGTTTTAACGGTTCAAATTGCCATCCCTACCCTCCATCCCTCCCCCAAGAAAGCAAAAAGGTTCGATGATTTGGATTTGAGGGATCTATTAGAGCTCTTATGAGAAGTTCGTAAACGCCAGACGAAGGTCTATTTTAGATTTAATCTGGTAGCTTGTGAAGAACTCCACCACCTGATGGTGGAGCTCTTTCCGTTTGTGAGAAATTCTTTTTCTAGTGTTAGTAAGAATTTTTTTCTGGAGGAGCTATCTCATCTCAAAGTTTAAACTCTTCAAAATAAAATAATTTATTTATTTGAATTTCATCTTTAATACGTACACCCATGTATTCTGACTTGAAATTGTTAAATTTATTCATTTAAATTTCATGTTGCGCAGACAAGCCTGCAAGCCCTAAAAGACAATGATCAAGGCACGTTGTTGACATATTTGAGCGCATCGGCCAGCACCGATTGTGGGGATGCACTTCAAGAATTTAGTGTTGATAACCCATTGAGCAAAGTCACCGGGCATTTGGCCAAAGAAGTAGACAATTGCTTGGCAGTGGTGCAGCAAATCTAAGTTCCTTGATTTTCAATTAAGGACCTCGAAATGCTAAATAGCTTGGTTGCTGAATAGGGTTTGACAAAATAATGAACAAATTTTATTTTTTTTTTTGTTTTTTTCTTACTATTATCCTGTGCCGTCCAATTCTCTCTGCGGAGCATGTCATAAATATATAGTACTTTATTCTATAATTTGTCTGCACACGTACATTGTGTTTTTGAATGCAGAATTGAGCGTCTTGTTAAGGTAAATTTGAATGTTCATTTAGGTGTTCCTCATACAAATAATTAATCATATGGAATTCCCATGTTTGTTGGATGTATAAATTTCTGAACGTCCTTAGCCATTGAAGAATTCTCTTGATTTTGCAGCTTCATCTTGGCCTTTTATCCTTACAGCAGAAAAAAATTTCTGATTTTTTCATGAGAATATTTTCTATATGTCATGATTGTCACTTCGGATTTTCTCGATAGATTTCGAGTTTTGTAGTAATAATAGAGAATTGAATTCGATTTCTTTGATTTGAGGTGACCCTAAGTAACATTAAAATACAAATGAAGACACCCTCCAATGAGAATTGCTTTCAACGACTGCATGTTCCTTGTTGAATTAGAAGAAAGTTTTCTAGGGGAAAAAGTTACAAGGCTGTATTATTTGAAGATATAGAGGGTAAAAAGCTTGGTCGGTCTTGAACTATAGAATATACTAACTGGCTCTATCATTATATTGCATATTAGGCCTTTGTTTCATACCCATTATTTTAAAATACATTATTTTATCTCTTCTTTTCAACTGCACATTTTTCAATAAAATAATATTATACACAAATTCAAAACTTTTCCTTATTTTAGTCCACAATTTCTCCATTAATCTATAATTTCAAAATGCATTCTAAGTGAAAGTGGGACTCGAACAAGCACTAGGTATCGAGCTAACATTTTACGAATGTCGTGCCCTTCAAACATAGGACACCATTTTTTTACTTTTTTACTTTTTTTTTTTTTTTTTTTTTTTTTTTTTTTTTTTTTTTTTTTTTTGAAATTTAGACCAAATTGCTTTTCGGAATAACAAATACACAGTGTTAAGTTGAACAATTGAGCACATTATAAAGTTTAGAAACGTTATATGTACATGGCTTAAAGTTTAGTGACCAACTAAATGTGTTACCTAAGATTTAGAACAACTGAACCTCTTTTAAATATCCCATGTTTCTTTTTGTTAATCTCATCTATTTATGGATCAAAATTACGTTTATTATATTAACGCACAAAATAAATATAAAACACATCCTTCAGTGAAGGGGTTCTTCACTTTTGGTTTACCTTTGGATAACTTTAGAATAGAAGAAAACCCAGATAAAACAATAAAATAATTCTAAACAAGCACCAATACCATAATAACTTATGAGAAGATCATTTGAACAACGTAGAAATGAACATAAAGAGAATATAAGGGGGAAACTTTAAAATCCGAATAATATGTATATTGTAAAGGTTATTTGATAGAATTTGAAGGTGTAAATTCAACCATTAAGCAATAAAAATATAATAATTTTTTATTCATTATAATCTTGTCCACTATAGAGTATTGAACATACAATAAAAGATGAAATACGGGATGGGCATATATACTTAACTGTGACGCCCCAATATATTCGACTGGTTAGGTTATTAATACTAAAAAATTTGAAATTACATCAGTTGAATAAATAAACTCATCGTTGTCATCTTTATGTAATTAAATAGGAACATAGGGAAAAAAAAAAAAAAATTGACGGAGCATGAAACAAGGAATTAAAGAGAAAACCTTAAGAACACAAAATTTGATGGATATTTATTGGAATCCACCAAATTATGCAGGAAATAAACCTACGAAATTTAGTAATGAATGATAACAAAAACAATGGAAAACCTTTTATTTATAACGATTTGCATGGAAACGTAGTTTAAAACAACTAAAATTAATGAAAACAAAGTTTAAACAAACTAAAATTGAAAAAAAAAATTCAAAATAAACTAAATGATAGAAATAGCGTTAAAACTTTAAAAATCAGTTTTTGAGTCCTAAACGAACTTAAATGGCCGAAATTCATTGTACGTCACAATATAACAGTATGTATTGTTCGTCTCGTTATCCTCTTTTCGGAATAGTCTTATGAGCCCAATCCTGAATTCGGATGTTTCCCCTCTACTATTACATTTTCCCCATTTTTATTCAATTTCTCTTACATCTATTCAGCAATATGGTCTACATCAGTTCCTTCCACTTCCAAAGAACTTAATCCCCAATTATAATCTAGATATAAAAGCTTATCATCTTTATGGAACTCATACAAATTTGTCGTATTGAACGTTCAAAAAACACTCATAGAAGCTGTTAAATCAATAATACAAGTATTGTTGTTAATTCGCTTAAGCACTTTAAAATGCTCATACTTTCTCGGTTTCAACTTGTAGTAGGTAGCAACGAGAAATCTCTCATTTCTCAAGAACACCATCATTGAGTCTCCTTTCTAAAATTGTTTATCTTGTCAATGTGAATCTGCTACTGCTCTATACTTTGCGTTAGTTTCCTCCAACTTCTATTTTACTTCATCATGGACTGTTAACACCTCTTCTGCCATATTTCAGGAACAACACTCCTATTATCGCCTTTAGGCAACTTCATTAGATTCATCACATGGTAAGAGACCTCTGTGAACACAATAACAAGCGGGGACCTACCTGTAACAGTATGAAACGCGTCGTTTTACGCAAACTCTACCTGAGGTAGTGCAAAATCCCACTATTTAGACTTATGTCCGCTAACACTTTGAACCATGTTTCCAAAGGTACAGTTAGTAACCTTGGTCTGTCCATTAGTTTGGGGATGGATAGTGATGTTTCGATTCAAATTGGTTCCAAACAACTTTTACAAGGTATTCCAAAATTGCCCCAAAAACTTTATATCTCTATATGATGTGATAGACTTGGGAACTCCACTCTAACAATCTCTCTAAAAAACAGTTTGGCAATACTTAATGCATCTGAAGTCTTCCGACAAGTTATGAAGTGCATCATTTTAGAAAACATGTCATAAAACATAATAATCAAAATATTTTGTTCATATAAGCACAACTTAGGTAACACATTTATTTATTTAACCATGTGATATATGCATGAAAATAAGAGGAGGTTTACTTACTCGAAACATGAGCAAATTTACCTTTAGAATTGTAAGTGGAGATGCCACTAAACATTTACTAAATTAATGTGTCAAAAATCCTAGTTCATTATCATTTATTAACGTAATAATTTCGACAAACTCATTATCATCATTATCATTTTATTATTATTATTATTATTATTA